AACAGTCACGTACACATAAATAAGAGGCAGTACACACGAAAACACCCCCAAATAGTGATGAGGCCGCAGACTCTGTAAATAAGATGTGTTACCTCTCTCCCCACCCCATTGTTATGCAGGCTCACAACTGTCTGAGCGTCATGTCGCTTTTTCAGCCTGTCTGTGAACGGCCTGCTCATCTTCTCTCCAAACGAGATATAATCGCCACACATGCCAAAATTTGGGCGCGATGGGGAACAGCCACATTCGGGTATATTGTTCTGAGTGCAATGATGCACGATTTCGTAGGTGATAGTAGCCTGCAGTGCAGGCGTCTTATTAGGGCGAGTTAGCGTTACAACCTTGCGACCGCCATGTTAGACCGCCATGTTAGACGGTGGGGGAAGGGGGAGGGGGAAAATGAGNGGCTAAGGTGATAGCGGCAGCGCTGATGGATTGGATGAATGCTATCTCTCGAGTGGCTGCAAGAAAGTGACAAAATCTTATGGGAGCACCATATAAAACTACCGTATTCTTCGTATTCAGCCGTGGCATGGCTCTGGGTTCATTCGGCTTTGAACCTTCGCCACTCTTGCTTCAGTTCAATTTGAAAGGCCTTCCGATCGCCTTAACTCGATCGGTTTCAGCCGCCCTAGCTTCTGGTTCCTGTTTGTGAACTGTTTGAAACGACCGGCGCGACGGTTATAACTAGGAAACTTCTCAATGATTCCCTTCAAACCCCAAATAAGTCTTCGAAACTCCTGATCATCGCTAATATAAGTTTATCTGTACGAATTATTATTCCTACCCTTATCTATACTCCACCTCGTATAAATCTACCCTTTAATAAACCTTCAGGTGGAGTCTTCCCGTATAGTTCAATACTTCCTGTATAGCTCAATACTTCCCCTGGATGGGAGACTGACCCAGCGCAGGTCATTACCCTCAGTAGTTTGCCAGGTCGCTTATAAGTCTCGCGCGGTACAATTTTAACGTCGTTTACTGAGACATGTATACTCTTGAGCTATGAACAGCCTGGTCGAAGGTTAAATAAACAAAGCTGGTGGTAGCAACTCTTGAATTGTTCACATGTCTAATATAGGATAATTATACATATCTGATTAATACTGCAGAAGGTCAATACAGCAGACTTACTGGTAGCGAATGTCGAGTTATTGAAGAGAGGTAACTTCTTATACATCTGCAGTGGACAGTCCCAAGGCTCGCCCCGATACAACCTTTGCAATTGGCATGCGTGGAGTCCTCGAAGGGCCCCATCTTTCACGACACTCAACAACGCAGGATCACCCTGCAAAATAAGTACATTCCAGAACAGTGTTTATTTAAAACCTGGCACTTTCTACATATGCATAAAGGATAGCTGAATTGATGGGCTCCCGAGAACTATGTATTCAAGTGATGGCTGTAGCGCGAGTGATTAGACCTGATAGCTGCTGGGCGAGAAATGGCTGTAGTGCGAGTGTTAGTGATATCACACTTGAACTAAAACTGATCTCATTCTCAAATCGTTTAGGGTTGGGTGGTCTTGAAAGGGAACAAAAAAAAAAAAAGGAATACGCGACAAAAACAGCACGGTATATACCTTTCGTGGTAAAATGATCTCTAAATCTTCACTATTGCTATTGTTGGTTCTGTGGAGAAAATAGGAGTACATGTCCTTTAGTCCTTGGTTCTTGAGAGAAAAAAAAATCGCCAGTTTTTTTTATGGGACCAAATCGATTCTATTAAGTACAATATCCATGAATGAATTTGTAAAGATATAAACGATCATCGTAGTTATGTAAACAACGTAAGCGGCTGTGAAAATAAAGCCTGAAAATAAAAAAAAAATTCAGGCTTCATTTCGCCAAGATTCATCAACAGCACTTTTTGAAGGATTGTCAAACTGCCATCTCCAAGAAACTACTTAAATATAATGCATTCCATGGAAAAAGAAGTATTTCAGACTTCTACGGACTGCTCCGCGTGAGCAGTTACGCACCTGATGAATATTGCAAAAAAGCAACACAAATCAGGAGTCACGTACTCTTTTTTGCTCGAGATGGACGCCTGTTAGCGAAACTATTCGACCCACGAGGTTGTCCTTGGGGAACCTTGTCAGAAAGGGGAACTAAAATTTAAAAGATTGTAGACGTTCAAGAAATAACTTCGATCTTACATTATAAACTATTTTAATTGAAAAGAAATCAAGATCATAGAAAAAATTAAAGATTCTCTGCATACGCTCATACCCTGCATTACTGAAGACCTGATCTTAATTCTTTGCAACATCTCGGAGCAGAATTTCAATTTTTTCTTTAAATCGCCATGTATCATGGTCAACCGAAGGCAACTTTAATTTTTCATTGCAAAGTGAAGATTTAAGAGAAAAGGACCATTCATTTCCATGTGGCGCTAATTTTGTTGGAAATCTCAGTCTGGAATGTTGTACGTTGAAACTGCTCAGCAGTTATGCGCAACAAGGAGACGAATGGAATTTAAAGGGGCTAGGTCACGCTATTTTAGCTAATTTTGTTTAATTTTGTTAATTATGAGCTCTAAACGTCAAATTGGAAGAGCAAGAGTCTTTCATTTGCAAAATCACGGCCACATAACTGAGAATGATTTTCCAGCTGTGTAAATGACATTTTGATATAAACTGATATAAATTTGAAAAACATTTTCAAATTTCCCCAAATGGAATCCATTTTTAATCCTCTCCAGTTTTGTCCATCCATGTCCCTTCTTGGCTTTCCTGTGTTTTGCTTGAGTTCTTCTATAGTTTTGAGCGGTTTTTGTGATATTTTAGTTAATTCTATGACCATTTGATCAGTGCTGAAATTGCCTAAAATTGCGTGACCTAGCCCCTTTAATGAACGGGTAAGCAGCTTAAATTAAACATAGGCACGCAAGACGTGCAAGAGTTATTTTTTTCTGTGAAGTTTTGTAGATAGAAGCATTCATGGTACAGTAATGATTTGGTTAATTTGACAAGTTTTTTTGGTTGCGATGT